CACACTGGGAAAAACAATGGCACCTAGAGACATCAAATTTTGAATAACGTAGTCCTCCACTCGAATATGGCCATCTGGAAGCCCAAATTTAGACATTTTTTATTATCTACTTTATATTTTGTAGAACTTTAACGAATTTTTGATTAACAAGCTCAAGGATTTCAAATCTGAAAGGGAAAAAAAATTATCTCCAGCGTGCGAGACTGTGTTTCGAAAATTCTAAAGGTATGCTTTTCTTAAATTATTTTGTGATATTGCTTTTGAATTTAATTTTATGGTTTAAGTGCGAATAATTGAATGTAACAAACAAAACGTTAAAAAAAGCCCACACCTTTGGGCGTAATATAAAATCTGAAATCTTTCAGATTTTTTTTTTTTAATTTTACAATTTGTAATAAATTTACGACTTTTGATTTTGAAGAAGTAAATAAAGATATGTAACTTCTATAAACTGATATTTTTAAATACACGGTTTCTATGCTATATGCAAATTATACTGAAAGATTTTCAGCATTTACAGAATAAATAAGAAAAATTAAACATTAGAGACACACAACATATAAGCATCTCAGAGAGGCGCATATGAAAACGAAGATCTGTGCTACTTGCTGAATCATAGAATCATTTTAAACAATTACGAAATGTCAGGTGTTTATTATCTGCTTTTTAAAAGAAATATCGCGAATAATGATAGTTAGTTATCTTTGTTTTATATTCTCCAAAAACATAGAAAACAAAGTGAAAGCTGTCTGTGCGACAATCATTGTATTTCCTTGCTTATAAGGAAACAGTAATAATAATTTTTTAAAGCGTCAACATTTAGCATATTTGTTAAATTTACTGCTGTACGAATTATTTGTGTCAAATTACTTACATTTAGAAAATAAAAATAGGCGCTCAGACGATATAGTAGTTAGAGAACCCTGACTGCGATACCTAAGGGCCCGGACTCGAATTCCGCAGAAGGCATGGATATAATCGTTTGTCCTTTCATAGGAAGCAAAGGTGGTCCTACTATTAGGTGCCTCCATAATAGCATCTGGCCTTTGGAGTGGCCTATGCCGGCATAGGCAAGTGCCCGCCATTGGAAAAAAAGAAAGAAAATCTGAAAGGTTTCAGATTTTAAACGTCCCAAAGAGAGTATTTTGTGTGTTACCTTTATTTGAAATATTTTGTGTGTTACCTTTATTTATTAAATATCATTTTCTTCGCACTTAAACCATAACATTCAGTTCTTTAGCAATATCGCAAAATAATTTTAAATTGATCATATCCTTAGAATTTTCGATGCACAGTCTCGCGCGCTGGAGATAAAAATGTATTTTTCTATACAACGTTACCATTGCTCGCTTTGAAATCCTAGAGTTTGTTAATCAAAAATTCGTTAAATATTTACCAAATATGAAATCGATAATAAAACAAATTCCAAATTTCAAATTTCGGCTTCCAGATTCCCATATTCGCAGTAGGATTACGTCATTCAAAATTAGGTAGCTCTAGGTATCGTTGTTTTATCACAATGCGAAAACACGTACACACATTTATGCAGATTCTTCATTATTTAATTTCTTCAAATATAATACAGGGCAATAATATTTAGTGGCAACAGTTTGGATAGTGAAACGGACATTCAGAGTGATTCGACGCAAAACGAAAACAGTAGTCCCTCAGGGACAAAGCCTCAACACTGTACGGAATAAAACATTTTATTCTTCAGCGCGCGAAACTATCGGAAATTCTAAAAATATGCGGGCTTTAAATATTTTGCGGTTTTGCTATTGAACTGAATTTTATATGGCGTAACTGCGAAAAACGTGATATTTAACAGAATAAAGTTAACACAAAAAAGTCATTTTATATTATGCCTAAAGGGGCATTGATTTCACGGGGAATTCAAAACAGGATCTGAAAAGTGATACAGATATTCAAATTCATTCGACACAAAATACCGTTAGACATTGTAAGGTCTGTGCGTTGCTCCGGTACCAACATAATACCAGTAAGAAATGTAAAGAAACCTCGCTCATAAAATATCCATGCTTGTGTTAATGTTAATGGAACGCTTTGAAGTCTTTGAGTTTGTTAATAAAAAATTCGTTAAAGTTTTACAAAATATGAAACAGATAATAATACGAATTCCAAATTTTATGATGATATATAGTATATCATCCAATATGAAGATCCAATGTGGGTTTCCAGATGCCCATTGGAGGACCACGTTTTTCAAAATTTGATGTCTCTAGGTACCGTTGCTTTTTTTGACAATGCAAGAAACATACATACATTCATGCAGAATCTTCATTATTTAATTTCTTTTAATATAACGCAGAGCTCTAATATTTGGTGGCAGCAATATGAATAATTCAAACTTTTATAGTGAACGAACGCAAAATGCCAAAACGAAATTAATAAAAATAAAAAGAAGTCTTGAATGAACTGAGAAAAATTTTTAAAAATAGAAAAATATATGCAATACTTAACACTGCATCGAGAATTCTATGGTGTTTTGCTGCTTTTAAAATTTTTGTGATTTTGTTGTAGAATAGTACATTGCATAAATGAAGAAAACGGTGATTAATAATAAAACTAGAAGGACGAAATGAAATGAGTTAGCAGGAGTAAAAGCAACAGCAGACTGGTAGACTGCGAACCCAGCGAGAGCGTAAGAAACCTTAAATATTCTTTTGGGTAATCGTTAAAAATCTGCCAAACTTTCAATTTTTTTTTTCAGTATTGGCGTACTGCTAATACTGAATTTAAAAGGAGTGTTTTGTATTTACTATTGTATTTCTTTTTGAAAAAACGTCAGCTGTTTCTAGTCAATTATGTCTTATATTATTTAGAGCATTCTACCCTATTGCTTACGTTATTTACAGCTACTGGAAATAAATTATTTTAGCATACCCTAAATGTACAAACTCGATTCTTTCTATTCTCCAGTCTGAACTCTCGGGCCTGTTATATGAATCTGAAAGAATAAAAACAACTCAGTTCAAAACTCTGATGTGTAACCGAGCGCTACCAATTATCCGCCAAGGTAGGACATCATTGCCCTGACGTTGGCAACAATCTTACTTCTCACTTCTCGCTTCAGTTCACCTCATGACATAATTGCGTAACAGATTGGCATCCTTTGCTTCATTTCGTCAGATGCCTTAGAAAATGTTACATTCTCTACGGAAGAGTAAAAAGCAAGAACTCATCCGCAACACTAGGAGAATGCTAAATGCTACGTACAAGCAATCAATCTAAAGCAGGAAAATGCTAAATGTTACATACAAGCATCAATCTAAAGCAGCCTGTAAGCTTCAATACAATAAATGGGACACAATTCCTGTTTTAATAGACTCCTTTAAATGATTCAGATAGGAAACTGGAATAACATTTTATCCCGAATTTAAATGTCTTAAAGCTGAAATTATTTCGCGATTTCCTGGAGTGTACCGGGGGGGGCGATGTTCATGTTAACGCAAAATTATGGTTCGTACGAGGGCAATTAAAAAACACAGAATTTTTTTTTGGTTTGATGTGGCTACGGCAAAGCCTCGAAGGCTATCTGCCTAGGGAAACGACGCCTTCATGGAGGACTTTCTAAGGGAGACTGGCTTGTATACACGTTACACATGGGGAAAACCACGAAAATGCTCATACCGCCAGCCCATTTTTGGGATTCGAACCTCGGACTAAACTACCAGTGTTCAGCGACTTTATCGCTCGGCCACTAAAAAACACAGAAAAGAAGAATAAAACGTATCATAAACGGAAAAATATTATTGTTAACACATTACATAGATTTTGGAGCAGTTTAATCCTAAGGACAAATTCATTATGTTACGTAAATTAAATCAGTATTCAAACCAAAATACCATTGTCAGTAACGAAAGAATAAATATCATTAGAAATGAAGAAATTGGTAAGAATTCGGAGAACAAGTTCTTCATTTTTTGGTTCCACAAATCTTTTAGTTCAAATAACTTCCAACAAATAGTTTCAATTTTCAGCAGATAATCTTTTAGCTTCTCAAATTAAATTCCTATTTAGAATGAAAAGAATGCACTTTAAATAACGGAAGAATAAACATCATAAGAAACGACGAAAACTAGCTTATTTAATTGCATTAAAGAAGAGTATTTCGAGAATAAGTTCACTCTTGTGTAAAAAAAAAGTCTTCTGAGAGTTTATATTATTCTTGTATTTCCACAGGATTCACGGTGAAACAAAAGTTTAATGTGTAAACGTACGGTTTATTTTATCGACTGAGCGGTTTATTTTTAACGAATAGTTTAACAATGCTTATTTATTCCGATCTTCATTAATCAGAATGCACAGAATAAAATAAAATTAAATTCAAGAGCAATATTACAAAATAATTTTAAAAGAGCATGTCTTTAGAATTTCCCATACACAGTTCCGCGCGCTGGAGATAAAAAGGTTCCCCCCCCCCCGTGTTGCCATTGCTCGCTTTTAAATCGTCGAGTTTGTTACTCAAAAATTCGTTAAAAATTTACAAAATATGAAATAGATAATAAAACAAATTCCAAATTTGGGCTTTCAGATGCCATATTCGGATGGAAACCTACGTTATTCAAAATTGGATGGCTCTAGGTATCGTTTTATCACAATGCGAGAACACATACATACAATTATGCAGATTTTATATTTAAATAAAATTAAGTGCTCACACTAAAAAAAAAAAAAAAAAAAAAAAAAACTAATTTCACGAGACTGACTGCATATAAATACATAATTATACTATGTTAGTGGGGCTACTAGTTATTACACCTTTCATACATTATTACACCCCATTTCATATATTATTAGACCTTTATGCTACAGAACTGTAACATAGCCCCAAACGTTTCAATTCCATTTACTTAGAAATGGTTGAATTGTTGGCTGTAGTTGCTTTACACCAGAGAGCTAAATCATCAGATACCACTTCAAAGAGAGAAAAACAGATCCCCTAAGAAATACCTATAAATAGCAATTTAAACACTTACCCTTGTTTTTCCTTGGTGGCCGAATCTGTTGAAGGCATTGTCATGCGAGCGAGGACTAATCCTCAGAACATCCGTCGTTACAGCCCAAGCGGAGATCCCTAAAATAAATAAAGAGGAAGACTTCATAAAGAAATTTTAATCTTTATTCTCTATAAGGTTATTTAATTCTTAAACTTCAAGTTTTTCTTTCTTATCATAAATGTAGAGTTCTGTGAGTTTGAAATTAAAATAACTTTCGCAGACGATAAAAAGAGTTGCGTATTGCCGGAATGGCAAAATATTAGAGTATTTTAAGGACATGATAAAAAGTCGTACGTAGAATTTTAATTAAGATGAAGTCGTTATGCTTTTGGGTTCTTAAAAGTCTAAATTAAATTTATTAATGCTATTATAGACAGATTTTTTTTATTAAGCGGAGCCTAGTTTTTATTTTATTTCAATAAAATTCTGGAAGAGTAATTTCATCTAAATATGGAAGAAGGAAAGTACAAGAAATTATTTCCTGCTATAGAGAAAGCGATAGTTCATCTAAACAAAGGAGTTTTTTACTTCCTTGTACGAAGCAAAAAGGAAGTACTGTAATCGCGAAAAGTTTCAGGCAGCATATTTCAACGAAAATATCTCATTTTGACCTCTTTCAACTGCAATTTAACGATGTATTTCCGTGATATATATACGTAAGGACAGAATAAAACACTCTTTTCCTCCAAAAAAATTATAAAACTGCTTTAAAATGAATTCTGAAGAGAATTTTTCATGGCGTCTCTACGAACGTATGTACGTACGTAGGTACGTACGTGCGTACGTACGTATCTCGCATAACTCAAAAACGAGTAGCCTCAGAACGCTGAAATTTTGTATACAGGACTACTATAACATGTAGATGTGCACCTCGTATTTTGGTTGCAATCGGCCGCACCAAACGTATATAAATATATTCATATATAATTGTTTCATAAGAATAAATTGAGTTTAATTAAAAAAATTAAATTTAAATTCATATTTAATTAAATATTCTTTGCGCCATTGCTGCAAGGAATGAAATTTAAATTTAAACAAATTTAAAAAATTTGTTATATCCGCTCTGTTACCCGGCTCAGTGATCTCAGTTTCTTTACTCTTATATGTTTGTAAATTGTACATTTTTTGCTTTAAAAATGATTGAATTATGTTGTTCTTATCTTACGGTTAAGTTTTTATGCCTTTAGTAAATCTGTATGCAATATTTTTAGAATTATCAACAATTTTAAAATTGTTTAAGTGCTGGTAAGCCTAATGTTTTTGATGGCGGCCATTGCTCTTGTTTACATTTGAAACAGCAGGCTAGCGGATTTGTTGCCAATCTAGAGAAACTTAGCTTCTCAACAACAAAGATAACGCCTTCATATATTATTTAAATCATGCTTAATACTTTCTGGAATTTTTCGAGGAAATAAGCGTTTAAGATTTACTTCGTAATTTTTAATACAGATATTTTGAGCTTTTGTATTTTTGCCTTGTCGCGAAGTGAAAACTAAATTAATTGAATGAGAAATACTCAATCGTCTGTGAAAAACTGTTTCTTTTTTGTTTTGTTTGCTTAATTTCTTTTATACATCGTTCTAGCTTTATTATAGTATTTGAATAGAACATGTGGCAACGGTTAGGTAATTCTTTAAATGATATAAATTTTGTGCATTCTGAGTTATAATATGAACGAAATATAATACTGTTATGTGAACCTAGCGCCAGAGTGTCGCTATGGTAAACAAAGTGAATTTTAAAGAATGCATTTATTCTATTGTGGTTTATGCGGTGTCGGCGAAGTAGGTTTAATTCAATCTAACAAGTTTAAATGAAATGCAAGAAAAAATGCGTATAATTTAATATTCCGTACAAGGAAGTCATGTGGTGTACACATCAGATTTTTTAATATTTTTGTACAGTCGCACTTTTAAATAATGCACACAGCGCGAAAAAAGGGGGGACATTTCTATATCTTTCGTTCCATTGGGGAGGGGGCCGAGTGACGAAATTCAAATTGCGTTTTTCATATCTCGAAAGCGCGATTTAGGACATATATTAGATATATGTATAGCATTATTCTAATATATGCATTTTGACACAAACCTGGACTTTTCTGAAATGGCATACCAATGTTTTTCCATATTCCGATTCTACGACTAAAATTATGCCTAAATATTAAATTTTGTAAAATTTGGTGCGAAATTTACGGAGAAATTTAAAAATGTATCTTGGCGAATTTTTTTCAGTTTGTGCCAAGAATAATTTACTCGGCGAACTTCTTAATTTATAGCAACCTAATTTTCCTTTCCTTTTTTTTTCCATTGCAGACGAGCAGAATAAATATCATCGTTCATACTTTAAAATAGTTTTAACAAAGTACGTAAACCACATTTTCGTTATTATCGCTTATAATAAGTACGCCAAATTTCAAAACGCGCCAATATGTAAATTCCTGTATATCTTAGAAAATTTTGAATAAAAAGCTCTAATTTCTTGCAGATGCGCTTAGAAAAACATCTACTCTTTGATGATGTTAGAAATTTTATAGGTTATAATACAAAATGTTTTTGAAAAAGTTATAAAAAATATTTAAAAATACAAATTTTAAAAATAAATCATAACAAATGTGCGAATTAGATTTGGATTAAACCTAAATTTCGAATCCTGGAAGAAGGAATTAAGTAACTTTCATAAAAAACGAGCTATTAATAAATATATATCAAATTCAATTAGCATTGAGGAGTGAAAATTTTGAGAGCTAATTGTTTAAAAACTACTCGTGCGATTTTTACAAAACTTGGCAGTTTGGCATAATTTGAGTCTTAAAATCGAAATATGGAAAAAATTGCCATGTCATTTTAGAAAAATCCGATTTTGTGTCAAAATACCTACATTAGAACAATGCTATATATAAATCTAATACACATTCTAAGTCGCGCTTTTGAGACTTGAAAAAGTTGAATTTAGTCAATTGGCCCACTAGAACGGAAGATATAGAACTGCCCCAATTTTTGGGGGGCGGTGTATATATAGCAATGTGTTGAAAGAATGTCTACTAGTTCTTTCCTTTAAATACATTCTTCAAAAACAGTAGTAAAATTGTTGAAAATAAGTCAGAATAATCTGTTTACATATGAGAGAAAATCTTCTATAAACAGTTTCAACACTTCGCATTCGTGGTTCTGTAAACATAAAGGCGAACATTTCGTACCGTTCTGATAGAGAACAGAGATATTCGTAATGTTTTCATCGAACCAGCTGTCAATAAATGCTGTTTTACTGTAGTTCTAAAAACAACCTAATTCATAAAAGTGAGTCAAATGCTAAACACGAATGCTGCTTGTTTCAGTACGTAGCCGAAACGAGGCCATTTTGTTTTATAATTGTTTTCTAAATGTCGTCGAAATCGAATTTCGACTTGTAATATGCTTTGAAAAATGATATAAATCAGTTTTGATACTTTTCTGAAATATCTATGAAACTTCGACATTTATGAAACTTTATCAAATTTTAACTGATTTAAGAATTATAAATATTTTTCTGTGTGTAGAACTATAAATATTCTTCTTGTGTAGAATTATAAATATTCTTCTGTGTGTAGAATTATTAATATTATTCTGTGTGTAGAATTATAAATATTATTCTGTGTGTAGAATTATAAATATTATTCTGTATGCTAGCGTTATTCTAGGAAGAGCGTATGAAAAGTTGCATTTTATATTTACCAACAATATAAAATGATAAAAATCTAAAATAGATCAGCCGATAGAGTAGATTCCTAGTTCTATTGACTTTATTTTGACAAACTTTATGATCAAGAGAGTACGTCTAATATTAGCGAATGCCTCGAATCAGTATTTAAAACAGCAAAGACTATAGAAATCTTTTCTTAAGTACTTAACCTTTTACATGACAATGTTCCTTTTTTAGAACATCATGTTTAATATTTTTTAAAAAATAAACTATCATATCTGTCACTTAAAACAAATTACCGTTTATTATAGAAAGTATGATTGATTTGTTGACATAAAATTTATTTCTTAAATATGAATATTTCAGCGTAGAAAATTTTCTGAAAATTGGCTTTTTTTTAAAGATTTTTACAGTATTTAAGAAAACAAATTCTATAAAATTCCTAAAAATTCCAATCCACCCAAACCTTTCCCAGTTGTCCTTGCAAAGGACAAATTTAATGAGTTAATAAAAGAAATTCAAATAATAACAAGAAGTATTTCTTCAAGACTGAGTAAAATTGCAATGTTCCAAAAAAGGAACATTGCATGTAACGATATACAAAATCAGTGATTTTAGTTGTATTTCCCTGTTTTGAGCTCCAATATCTGCTTGCTTCTTTTCTTAGAAATGATCACATCTGCTTCACAAGGATTTGTGTGTTTATATTAGGTCTTTCGAAAAGTTCGAAAAATGAAAATTTGCCGCTTAGATCAAAAGTTGTTTCTGAACTATTATTTGTTATTGATAATCCAGAGAAACATAAAGTATTTTTTGATAACTTTATTTCATCGCACAGTTTGCTAATAGATTTGTCTAACAAAGGCTTTAAGGCAACTGGCATAGTGCCAGCAAAAGAGATGAAAACATGCAGAAGAGATATCGATATTTCAACATGGAGAATTTGATTACTGGTGCGATGGAGAAGTTTATATGTGCCGTTGGAGAAACAATTCTGTTCTAACTATTGCATCAAATTTTATCACTCAGAACCACTAGGAAGAGCAAAAAGATGTGTCCGAGCTTAAGAAAAGAAATTTGATGTTCTCCATCCTTACATTATAAAATTATATAATGAAGGAATGGGTGGACCTGCTTGACCGACTTCTTTGAGTTATCGACCAAAATTTGGCAGCAAAAAAAAATGATACTGGAACTTATTTATCAACGCACTCAATATGGTATTGGCTACTGAGTGGATCGTACACACTGATTTACACAAAAACATCATATTAGAAATGACTCGCGTGAATTTTAGAAGAGAAATTACTTTGAATTTGCTTCGAGCGAAACCTAAAATTTACATGATACCTGGACCCCGTGCCCATCAGTCGACATCTACAAGAAAATCAGATGCACA